TCTTTTTACTGCTTAACATTTTTTATTGGGTAGCCAATTGATGTGGTTTTTTCTGGATAAGATTTTTTACAGCTTTCAGCATTTCTTACTTGTCTGTAGTTCTCTGTGTATTGTTGAGCCTGGTGGGCTTTCTTCATCCATTTGGTCATATCTATGATTGTAGAATTTGTTCTGCACATATTAAGTTTTCATATTGGTGAGATTTTATATGTGTAGATTCTGATATTACTAGGAGACATCGTCTCACAGCAAACTACCTATTCTTCTGACTCCTACGATCTTCAGCCATATTTTCTATAATGATCCCCAGGACATAGGTGTGGGAGGTGTTCTGTAGATGTATCTAATAGGACTGGGCTCCATAACCATGACTTTTGATTGGTTGTGGACTTCTTCAGTGGTTTCTAACTGTTGTAAAGAGTTTCCTTGATGAGGAGTGAGATGAGAAATACACTTATCTGAGGGTATAATGACAAATATTTAGAAGGTAGTTAGGGATTATGCTGGTTTAATAAAGTAGTAGTTGTAAGTTCTCATACATAGCTTCACTAGACCTGGGTGGTTTAGCTAGGTTTCCTGTACCTAGGCATGGCTTGCCTCTCATATGTGGATCTTAAGTCCAATTATAGAGCCATTCGTTATTATCAAGGTACATGTGCTACTGCTACAACCTGAAGCTTACCTCACCATAGTGTTTATTGTTGTGGGTCATAGGCATCAAAGCTGGATAGGGAAATTGGTTGTTTTCTTCCCTTGGAAACTTTCTTGGGTCTGTCTGATACCATTAAAGCTAGACTTCAGGGAGGCTGCATTCAGGTCAGTTGTACCTCAGAGGTCTCTGGGCCCTATGTCTGAAGTCCATGGTGTCTGGGGGGCATCCGAGGGCAAGAGTCTCTTTTGGCATTCTTCTGGATAGCCTGAAATCACAACTCAATGTTTTCCTGTTCATTTTTGGATTCTGTTTTTGTGTCCTTTCTTTTTTCCTTTGGACCTAAGTCTACTAATCTTGTTTACTTTCTCAAAGGACCAGATCTTAGATTCGTTAAGTCTTTGTATTGTTTTAATTGTTTCTACTGTATTGGTTTCTACACTGATTATCATCATCATCATCATCATTATTATTATTATTATTATTAATTATTTCTACTACTACTACTACTGCCAATTTGGTTTGAATTTGTTTTTTTATTGTTCTTTTAAGTTGTAAAAGAGTAACCATTAAGTCACTGGGTTCTTTAATGTAGGCACTGCCAGTTTTAAATTTTTTTCCTTGGACTGATTTCAATGTATCTCAGTGACTTTGTTTTATTGTGGTCCAATTAATTTAGTTCATGGAAATATTTATTTTTTCCTTGATTTCCTCTTTGCCCCTCATCATTCGATAATAAGTTTCTTAATCTCCATGAGTTTGTATATTTGCTAGAGATTTGTTGGCTGTCAATTTTAAGTTTTCTTGTATTGTTATCAGACAGAATATAAGAAGTAATTTCCATCTACTCAATTATGCAGAGATGTGTTTTCAGTTCCAGGATGTGACATGTTTTAAAACATCTTTCATGTGCTATTGAATAGAATGTATCCTTTGGAGGTTGGGTGGAATATTCTGTAGATACCCGTTAAAAGGCCAATTAATTCTGATGTGGCTTCTTTATTTTTTTTGTCTAGATTACCAGTGTATTGGAGAAAGTGTTGTACAGAAATAAACTACTATTAACTAATTGATAATAGTCTGTATCTTTAAATTATTAGTAATATTTTTATGAAATTGTTTGCATCAGAGTTTGGTAAATATGTGTTTAGGGTTCTTTTATTTTCTAGGTTAACTGTTCCCTTGATTAGAATAAAGTATCTCCTTTATTGCTTCTGATTAGTTCTAGTTTGAAGCCTATTCTGTCAGATATTGGCATAGGAAACTATCTTGGTTTCCTCTTCCTATCCTTTTACTTTTTGGTGGCTCATATCTTTAAAACTACGATGTGATTCTTGGAAGTATCTGATAGGTGGAGGTGTCTTCTCCATCTGTTCAGAGAGTCTGTGTCTTTTGATTAGAAAACCAAGGCAACAGATGCCTAAAGTTAATACTGAGACATGAGTTAATAGTGATCATAATGTTGTTGGTATTTATGTTGTTTGCTTTCTTGGTCATAGAGTTAAAAAAATTATGGGTTTGATTTCTTTTCACAACCACTCTTCTTGTTATTTTTAGTTCAAAATATAGCTTCTAATGCTTTTTTAGATTTGGTTTGTTGTATATAAGATTGTTTAGAATGTTTGCATCTTGGAAAGTTTTTCTGTCATAATGGCAAATAGTTTTATCTGACATATTAGCTTTATCTTAGTCGAGGCATGCCATCATAGTCTTTTAGGACTTGGAATGCATTATTCCAGGCTCTTCTCACTTTCAAAGTTGCCATCAGGAAATCAGCTGTTATTCTGGTGAGTTTTTCTTCATTTGACTTACTTTTTCTCCCATGCAGGTTTCAATGCACTTTCTTTGTTGTATATAGTTAGTGTTTTAACTGCAATATGCTGTGGGATTTTCTTTTCCGTTCTTGTCTATTTGGTGTTCTGTGTGCTTCTGTATCTGCATGGGTGTGCCTTACCTTAGTTTGGGGAAGTTTTCTTCTAAGATCTTAAAGAGCACCTGGTCTGTGCTATCGACTTGGCAAACTTCTCCCTCATCTATGCCTATAATTTGAAGGTTTGGTTTTTTATGATGTCCCACATTTCTTGCATATTCCTTCCCTGTGTTTTTGTAAAATTTTCATATTCCTTGCTTGTTTGATCTAGAGTCTCTACTTTATCTTCAAGTCCTGATGTTCTTTCTTATGCTACAGTCATTCTACTTACAATGCTTTCCCCTGAGTTTTCTACTTTAGTTACTGGTTTTTCATTTTTGCTTGTGTCCTCAACAATATTTCTATCTCCTGGTGGAATTCTGTTCTCAGGTCCAAGGCTGTCTTTGTCATCTTCACCAATCTTATGTTTGTGTGTTCTTGGGCATCACTCAAGCATTTGTTCTCCTTCAGTTCCGTCTCTTTAACTTTAATGACTCTTTCTTTTTGTCTTTTTATATTCCTGGGATTCTTCACTGAAGTCTATATTGTCATTTTAAATTATGTGTCCTTGTCCTGGGGCTCATCTACATAGTTCTCATTAGCAAACGCTTGTCCAGGTCTAGTAGAATTGGAGAGAAGATACTGGCTTTCTCTTTCATATTGATTTGATTTTTGCAATGAGATCTGGACATATGGACTCAATCTGTTTTTTTTTTATATGCAAAGAGCAGATTGGGCTAAAAGAGAACATTGTGTACATGTTGGACCTATACGTTGGAATAGATAGGGAGGAACAAAGTCTGCTGGAAACAGTGCACTGGGTTGCTGTATAGGATGTTACTACTGGTTCAAACCTTGTGTGTAGCTGTAGATATGACTGGGTGGAAAGGGTTGATGTGTTATTGGATGGGACTTCTGGGTGGTTCATGGCAGAAGCCTAGAGGTTGTTTGACATGTAGACATTGGTGGTTAGACTCGGCTTGGCCATAAGTGTGGATCTCAGGGATAAATCTGGTGTTTGCAAAGTCTATGTGTCAGGGGAGGGTCAGGGACAATCACTGGTTTAGAACCTGGGGAAAGGTGAATGAGATCTTGATGGATGGAGAGGATAGATGCTGTGTACCTGAAGTATCTTTCTTTGTCTCCTTTCATTCATCTTATTCTGGAGTCTACTTTGTCTGAAAATATGGTATAGAAAACTGCTTGTTTCTTCTTACAATTAGCTTAGGATACTTTTCTCATCCTTTAAGTTTAAGGTGACTCCTAACCTTGAAGGTGAATTCCTTGTAGACCACACAAAGATAGCTGGTGTTTCCTTATCCAAGTTGAGTATTCTGATTAAGAAGCAGATACCACTGGTTCTTAAAGTTATAATTGAAAAGGGTTGTTAGTTTCAGTCATTTTGTACTGTTGATATGTGTTCTTAGTTATAGACTATGTTTCAGTTATTATAACTTCATTTGCTTTCTTTCTACAGAAATTTTTCTAGGCCTAGGTCTATCTTCAATTTAGTAAGTTCTAAAATATATAACAGACCTTGTATTACACAAAATCAAATCTGTCATATATATGCACATATATGCCATACATATATATGTTGATATAAATTCTCATTTATACATGATATACATATATATCATACATGATATACACACATACAATGCACATGGCACCATTCATTATAAGTAAAGCTTGGTACTAATCCATATATAGAAACTCAGTGATTGATCAGAGAAAGCATGGGTCATCCATACAATGAAAAACTAGTCAGTATGAAAGTTGGCAATTTTCTCACACCGACTGTAACACTGATAGACTGTGAAACCCCAACATTAGTTAGCTGATGTGGTGACTCCTGCCTCTAATAGCAGCAGTTGAAAAGGATCAGCAGCAGGATCGCCTCTAGATGAAGGCCAGAGTGAGGAAATAGTTCTTGGCCAGCTTGAGATACAGAGCTAAAGACTGTCACAAAAAAATGAATAGTTAAATGTGCTAAGACAAAATACCACAGCTTGAATATAGATACACTTCTATCTTTAAGTTTGTCGTATAACTCCATAGTAGGGGTATTGCAAAAATTATCTACTCTTTGCTTCAAGTGGCTTCCTGTTTTCATTATGAAATTTAATGCTGTGACGACAACCTGGATGGCTAAATGTGTGTGGCCAAAGTTCATTGTGAGTGTTTAAACAGTGGTAAAGAAAATCTTAGATGGTGTGTGGATTATCAGCCTGCAAGTAAATGTTGACACAGAGCAAGCCCTGCTGAGTTTGATCAGAACACTCCCTGCAGATTCTGCAGATTTCCTGGTCAAAAGTCCATCTGCTCAAAAAAAAAAAAAAAAAAAAAAAAAAAAACCTTTTCCCCTGCTCCTGCCCCCACAGGGGATAATCTCCCAGTCCTGAAGAATCCATCCTCATGATGTCCTGTGTTTCTTTGCAGTTGCCTGGTGTTCAGTATCACCGTTGTGATGGTCAGCAGGCGTGCCAGCCGGCAGCTAGGAGGCTTTACTTTGGCTACACTAGCGTGGGTCCTGTGCACTGTCTCTATGTGCCTCCCGCAGTGGCGAGTGTGGTGGTTTCAGGAGCCCGTGGATTCCAAGCCCAGAATGACTTTAGTGGGGATGTGGAAAGTCTGTGTTTACCACCAGGAAGGCAATTCCAACATTTCCAAAGTGTGTTACAAATATAACTACCAGGACAGCTTCATCCCTTTGGATCTTCGAGTGGCTCAACACCTGCTACTGATCTCCAGCTTTCTCGGCATGATTGCCGCAGTCATTGTCATCGTGGCTCCTCGGAAAATTTACTCAGGGAGACTCCAGAAGAAAACTACCTTCAATCTATTCATCATTCCAGGGATTCTGAACATCACTGCTGGCGTCTTTGTCTTCTTTACTGTCTTGTATAATTATTTATCCATCATTCACATGGATGGAATTGCCTTCCCCCCATCTTTCCGCACACCCTCCATCCCAGATACCCAGAAAGTGGGCACTGCTTTGGCAATGGCAACCCTTTCTTCCTTCTTATATCTAGTGGGTGGCACAATTTTCCTTTCTTTCACTCTTCCCCGGCACCCCCAAATGTGTTCTAACATTAGAATATAACTTTCGAACTTGCATAGACTTTAAAATCCAAAATCGCAGGGAGTAATCACAAGTATTCTTCAGATACCTCCCTAAAATATCCAGATTTCACACCATGCAAGGGTGGACAAGCAGGCATCCAGTTATAGTTCCTGCTATTTTTCATTGATTGGCTTCTGAATTTTCAATAAACAAATTCTTGCACACTTAATCTTATGCGTTTTGAATTTTAATTACTGTTTGCTATAGGTAATTAATCTGAAAATTAGTAGATATTTCCAGTGGCTGTCAGAGGAGCAAAAGGTGGAAACTGAAGTTCAAGGTGACAGCCAACCAGGAGGAAACCCCTCTGATGGATCAATCTCAGTTGGACAAGGCCCAGAGTCCCTGGACCCTGAAATGGCTTTTGGTTCTGCTGTGCCTTTACATGTTTGCTGCTGCAATCTTTCTCGGGTATCTGGTATGGAGTGAATGGAACTGGGGAGACTCACACTGCCTGTAGTGTAGTGTGTTTATCTCAAGGAAACATCCAACTCTACAGGGCATATTTTCCTCTCTTTTTTTTTTTTTTGACACAGATTTCTCTGTAGTTTTAGAGCCTGTCCTGAAACCCACTCTGTAGACCATGCTGACCTCGAACTCACAGAAATTCACCTGTCATTTCTCCCAGGTTTAGGGATTAAAGACGTGCCACCACCGCCTGACACTCTACTTGGCAGTTTTATCTGTGGATTGTCATGAGGATGATTCCTCCCTAAATTGTACTGTCTAATTGGTAATAATAATGTTAGCTTATACAGAGTTTTGATGAATGAAAATAAATACAAAGAAATGTTACACAGCTGAGGCCTATGAGTTTCACCTAGAAGCTATATAGATTGTAGCTTAAGTTAATGACTAAGAGAAACAATTGATTCCCAGGAGCCAGGCTGGCTCGAACTACTTTAATCTTAATGCTAATAGATAGTCATAAGTTTTGGTGTACATCACTAGTTGAAACAAAGCCTTAAAATAACTTCAGGTTAGATCAGATGATTTGATAATAGTTTTAAGATGCAAAACCCTAGAAAAAAATCTAAGGTTCACAAGGGCACATAGCTAAGGTCAAAAATCAAAGCGGCTCAATTTTTACTGTTTGACGTACTTTCCTGGCTAGGGTTGGTTGATAATTTCTTATACCTATTTCTGACCTCAACCTCCTGTTATAAAACAAACAAACAAAAACTATTAATGAGTGTGTATGTACACTAAAGATTAAATGTACAGCTGATTGATTCTTTTTAATATATAAAATTTAGGTTTGCTATTACTTTAAGATTCTGGATATGTCTACCTTTCAAGATTAATAATAAACTAATTGGCCCTATATTTGTAACTTCAAAATGCACCTTGCTAGTAAAAAGCTGACAATACCTTACTTGCCCACATGTTTAATCTATAACAGGTTGCTTGGTTATGAATGTATGTGGGTTCTTGGGATAATTTGTTTTTCACATGTCATATGTAAAATGTTTAATCCCATAAGGGATATGGAGAACAGGATGGTTTTTACTGTTTGTTTTGTATTTACTGTAATCATTCACTTGAAAAACAGAATGTAACCACAGTGTAGCTTTTATATTGCCTGACAGATTTTACCAGAGTATATAAATTGTAAGGGAAAGAATAGAGATAAAGTTAGATCAAGTTAACGTGGGCTAGGAGAAAAACATCAAGAATGAGAGAGTTAGAAAGAAAACATCGAGAATGAGAGAATTAAAAAGGAAATGTCAAGAGTTAAGTTAGTTAGAAAGAAGGCATCAAGAATGAGAGAAGGAATAGAGAATGTGAAAAAAAAAGAATAAAGAAAAGGTTTGAAAGAAGTGTATATGAAAAGAGTGTGTGAGTGGCTTCTTTTCCCTAACAACCTCAGATAGGAAATTCCAGTACTTGCTGATGCTGTAGATTCCCTTTGAGCTCTGTGTTTCCTGGAGGCTCTCTGCCCCCCAAGTTGTGATAAGATACAGAAATGAGTGTAAGAATATAATGACCCCTTACATCATCCTCTAAATCCATAAAAATTAAAGCAGGCCTGATTCCCAAGCCATACAATTGCAACTCTCCACTAGATATTTCCAAACAATGTTAAAGACTGATATAATGGATCTACACAATGCTTTGGTCAAAATACCTGTAAGAATTTACCATATTTCCTAACTCCCTCCTTTCCTCCTTTTGATTTTTCTTTTCCAACAGTTTTAAAATTTGAGACATCTCATCTTTTATTCTTTTTGTATTCAAATTTTATTATATACAAAACATTTTCAGACTATCCTATACTTAATTAGCTTAACAAGTATTCTTTGTTATAGTTACATATTTTATGCCTTTTCTTGTTGTGAGACATTTCCTAGGGAGATGCAAAAGAAAAAAAATTACTCAGAAGAGAGTGTCAACAGAAAAATGAAACAATCCTAACTAGGTGTAACTTGGATGAAATGGACTAACTTGAGGGAATTTCCAAGGAAAGCTCCATACTAAATTCTTGAAGGAAGAGGTCATTTTTCCTGGAAGTCCGAGGTCTAGTCAATAGTGGCAAGTGAGTAATGTTGGCAAGATCTTAAGATTGCTGATTATCTTGTAATCGCAGAAGGCAATTGCTATGTTGGACTTGCTTTCTCCTTTTCAGGTAGTCCATGGCCCAAGTCCAGGCAATGGTGCCACCCACCTCTACAGGATCTCTTCCCACTTCAACTCAACTATTTAAAATAACCCCTTTCAGGCATTCCCACAGGTGAATGAAATTTAGACTATGTCTCACAAGTGTGTCCTGAAACTTGTTATGTATAAATCTAGAAATATAGAGTCTAGGTCCTCTGAAATTGACATTGGCTACAAACGATGATACCCTAGTAATATCGATACTATAATGAGTCTGAGTTAAGTGAAAAGTACCTAAAAATCCATGGGATACCAGGTGGTAGCAGCATACACCTTTAATCCCAGCACTCCAGAGGCAGAGGCAGGTGGATCTCTTTGAGATTGGGGCCAGCCTTACTACAGAGCAAGTTCCATGACAGACAAGTCTGTTAAACAGAGAAACACTGTGTCAAAAGAACAAACAAAAATCCAGGGGAGATATATTCTAATAAAGGAAACAGTTTTTCCTAATGATTCTCTGGATTTCCTTGGTTTCTCTTGCTGTGTGCCCCTTCATAGTTCTGATTTTGTTAATTTGGATATTGTCTCTCTGCCTTTTTTTAGTTTGGATAAGGGTTTATCTTGTTGATTTTCTCAAGGAACCAGCTCTTTGCTTCATTGATTCTTTGTATTGTTTTCTTTGTGAAGATGGAAGCTAAAAAGAAATCCCACACTACCTCAGAATTGAGTATAATAAGGGGTTATTTATTTAGAGCTAGACTCACGGAGCACAGTCCTCTGCACGAACAGGGAACAGGAACCAAATCTAGCAGCCGGAAGAGAGGGAGAACGTGTGCTTTACATCAGCATTTAAAGTATAAGAAGCCACGCCCAAGTGGTCAGGTAACTTAAAAGCTATTGGATGTTGGATTTCCTACAGCAGCCCCCTTCTGTTTAAATCAAAGAGTTCTAAGCCTAATACAAAATTGTATACAATAACAACAAATATCAGGTATAAAAATTAGATTACAACCAGCATAAACAATATCAAGCAAAAAAAAACATGTGATAAATGTTTCAATAATTATTCTATCCTAAGGCGTTTAAATCTGTTATTATAAATAATTTAGCCAAGTCAGGAGAGGAAAGTAACTACAACTCTCTAGTCTTCAAGCCCATTGAAGACCCAAGAAGGGAAATAATATTACTTGAGTACGCAGGAAGTGCAATCAAGCAACTTGCAAAATGTGCAACAAATGAAAGAGATAATTGGCTACCTGGGAAATCACCCAAAGTCTCCTTTGCAACATTAGAGCAAGCAACTTTGGCTAAGGCCTACAGTAATTGACAGACCATTTTCAAAGGCAGGAAAATTTTCAAAACTGTCTTACCCTGTCTTAGCAAAATTTCACGGTCTTTTATCTTGTGTCCTGCTTGTCCTGTCTGGACATAGTGAATTTTGTCAGTGGTTGATGCATGGGCAGTTCCTTGCCAAAAGGCCAGTTTTTCCAAGAATAAAATAAGCTCCAAGTGGAGTGTCTTCGTACTCAACAATCTCTTGGGAACAGATCAGTGCTGCCAGGAGCAATAGTGTCTCACATCAAGAGAGCCCTAAGTTATTTAAATGCCATATTCTGCAGCTCTTTGAAGTGGTTGAAGATTACCTATCTCTACAGAATACAATATCTATGTATCTAAAGAACCTGATTAGTCTAACTATAAGTATGGCAATCATGGATGCTTGCTGACTTTTAATTCTTAATAACTATATAACTTAACGACTAAGACTTCGTATTAGAATATTAAACAGTCTTTAAGCAACTGTGCAACAAATGAGGACAGTGACCTCAAAAATGTAAAAATTGTTTAAGTGTCTTGAATACAGGTAGAAATGTATATTGCATTATGATAAATATATCCTTAAATTGTGACAATATACAAAATGTCTTTAGCAGAGGTAGAAGCATGCATGCATACAATATGACAAAATAACTTTGCCTAGGTATACAAATATTGTGGATAAAAATATGAAAATATTCCATATAATTTAAGTTTGTATCAATATACAAGAATCTATACCAATGTAAATTGCCTATGAATAATAGCTCACAAGCATTTACTCTATTGCTCACTATTATTAATGAGAGTAAGATAACACTAATTTGTTATCCCATCCAATTTCCCTTTTTAAAAAAGAGATCCATGAGCCTACATAATTTCACTCCAACCCCTAACCCTATAACAATTATAATCAACTCCTAAATGATGTCTCTAACCCTGAAGACAAACTTTGTTGAAAGAGGGGATGTCGTCTTCGAGAATTACTTCCAGCTGTCATGAAGCCAATGTTCTTTCTATGGGATCCTGTGAAAGTGAAATGATGGTTAAGTTTCCAGATTACTGTCTGCCAATGTGTTCAAATGTATTTCCCACTTTTTCTTTTATAAGGTTCAGTGTGGCTGGCTCTATATTGAGATCTTTG